AACTACATCACAATGGAAACCTAACCTTGCTCTTTCCTCCCAAACCTCAAAAGCCAAACGCACATATAACGATCACTAGGATGATGCATGATTACAAAACTGCAAGCAGACTATAAAGTGAGATAATGTCGGCTATGTTATGTAAACGTTTGTCTCTCCCACCAGTGCCGTAGCACACAGATACACCAAGCCCTAAAACTAACTCGTGTGCCATGGAGTGTCTGCATGTAGCCAGGCTGCAGCAGGTGAGAAATCTTTTTTTTTTTTTCTCTTTTTTTTACATGTTATGGCACAATACCAGTTAGTCACAACCATTCAGCTATTTTTTTATAAAGTATACCTGCTTTTAGAGCTTAAAGATGACAGACATTAACCACTTACCATGCTGATGATGTTTGTAACGCCTCATTATTTAATATACAGTACATATTTTGTCTTTCAAACATTGCAGGTCATAGATATTGTTCCTTATAAACAACACTAAAACTTCAAAGAACAGAACAATTGTCACAAACGGGGGTTTCACAGATTTGAATATACTTTAAAAATCATTGTCAGTGACGAATGATGGAGAAAAAAATAAAAAATAAACACTCGATGAGAAATAAACAGCAGTCTCCTCCAGCAGAGTGCCCGCGGTATTTGTACAGGTGTGTTTGCTTCACGAACTAAAGGTGAAAGACCATGACACATTGCATCCAATGCTTAGAAGCAGCCACCCACTGAGGAGATGCTCTCGGCATATGCATGAACATTAAACAGTCCGTTATAAGGGTTAAAGAAGTGAACGACCAGTAGTGGCTTGCTGCGGCAGCCAGTACCAGAGTTAAAGAGTGCCTGATGGGTGAGGGCATTCATCTGCCTTCCTCCTCCTCCGCTTCCTCCCTCGGTCCATTACGAGGAAATCTCTGACATGTTCTGTCTTTGAACTAATCAGTCCCTCTTCTTGTCCTGCTCCTCAGCCACCTCCTCCACCTGATGCCCGGGGAAGGCGTGGTGATACAGGTGCCTATGATTGGCTGCTACATTATACAGCTTGTAGAGAGCCTATGGAGAGAACATGGAGCTGGTTAGTTATTTATCTTATGGATTACTTTTGCAGGAAACACCGGAGTTACATTTTCACACATAAACAAGATCACGACAACAAAGTCCATTCATTCATTTACCCATCATGCATGAACATGCTTATAGTATTAGAAAGCTGGTAAAGCTTATATTTCTAATATAAGCTGGTAAAGCTAAAGCTATGCACACATATTTTGTACAATAATCAGTGTATATCAAGTGGTTTATCACTGCATCTGTATACTTTTAGAAACAGAAACCGGGAGCTGGGATTTGGGTTTCTTTTTTAATCTAGTCATATGGATTAGAAGCATTTCAATACTGATGTTTTTTTTTACCTGAAAACAAGTTATTCTTATATAACTTATTCACTCTGTTTGCTCTCTTTATTTCCACACTGCTGAAACATGCACAGCAGGCTTCCAGTGGCTACTTTTATCAGTTTTCTTCATTCATATTTGATTTGAAACACTAAATCGACTGCTTCATAAATGTTACATCTGCTGATTCTGACAACAAAAAATGGAAAGAGAAAGTAAGCTCCCTGAGAGCTGTTGTAAACCAGCTTGATTTAAGCCTGATTTAATAAGCTTAAAATGGGAAATCAGGGAGCACTCAGTTGATGTCTATACACAGCCCACTGTTTACATATAAAATTTTAACTTTAGGTCATTTTTCAGGACAATCCGAGTATATTTTCTGCACAAAATATGAAAACAAACTCAATTTGAATTTGATTAACACGTCATTTACAATCATTCACAACTAAAAAGACTATAGAAGGTTAAAGATATGTAATATAATCTGCTTTAAAGTCAAATGCCATGGATTTATGAGTCTCGGCTTTTTCAGTCCTGGGCACATTTTGTTTCAGAAGTTTAGACCAGGAAGGGAAGCAGTCTGTTTGGAAAAAGCTTTGTTTGCATCGGGCCAACGGCATTAAAAACTGCCCTATTACCATGAAAATAGGCCTTTCATCAAAGTGCTGATCGGCCTAATAATAACTAATATTCATAGAGTAATATAACAATACAAATTTTGATCCAAGAGGGAAATCATCTGAAATGTTAATTTGAAAATATCTTCAGCAACTGTTTAAACTATGTATAGACGAGCCCAATATGATTTCAACCATCAAAGCTGAAAGCAAACTGTTCATCAACAGTATCGAATCTCTTAGAGTGGAGAGGAGAGCAGAGGCCGTGATATCTGCTAAACTGAGATGGTTTACTGTAACAGAAAAATCAGGTGTTCATACTATTCATCATAATAGTTAAATAAAGTCATTAAAAATTAAGACAGAGAATTTTTAATTCATAAAGCAGCCTTAAGGTGTGAATTGAGGTGTCTTCATTCAGGGAACATAAGGCTGCACAAGAGGAAATTTAACTGTAGCTCAGAGAATTTGAGCAGAACTTGAGTTTGATGACAATAATCTCATAGAAATGCATCAGTAGCAATGTGTTCTTGTTAATACTTCTAATTGATTTGCTCTACTTACCTCGTTTGTGCTCCCCTGCAGAGGCGTTAAAAGAAACAAACATACAGTGTGAGCACATGTAGTGAACATGTAACACAAACAGCACATACAGATTCTTCGTTAACGGTGCACAATTGTTGCTCTTAGGCTTGTATGGATTTGCTGCTGCCACTAATAAAGGAGGTTTTTGCCCCCTAGTGGTTTAAAGACACTCTTTCATTTCTAACAGATGTGGATGGATACTGTGTATTGTATTTGTCTTTAATGGCTAATTTTAAAGCGAAAAAGCCATATTCTCATATTAAAATAAAGTAAATGTGTACAGATAAAAGAAAAGGTAATGATTAATAATTATTAATTATTTTTACCAGTGACTCTGGTTTCATATGTTTTTCCTCAGTCTTCATCCTTTGTAACAGGACAGCTAGAGCAGCTAGAGCTCCAACCATGTGTTTTATTGCTAATAGCAAATCTCATATCTTTTGTGCTGCTGTTAAAGGCTAAAGATGTGAACGTTTCCCTTCTAAACCATGAGGTAATTTAATGACACACATCAGTGAAGTTGATTCAAAACACACTTTAACTAAAATACAGCAAAAGTTCAAACTGTTCTGATCAAGTGGGGATATTGCGTGACCTTTAAAGTGTCTGCTTATTTTTATTTGTTCCCCTAGTCTGCTGATATACTGCAGTTCACAGGAAAGGAGCTGATATGCGTTATTATTTTAGTTTGTTAAAAATTTCTATGCTTATTCGGATGAAATTGCTCTTTAGTGTTTGTTTACAGTATAGCTTCAGATCCAGATGTCCAGCAGCCGCCTGTATTCAGTTTGAATATTGCTATAAACTGCTATGGATCCATTTATGTCTTTTATTTACTGTGACATTTAAATGTAGCTGTAGCTTCTGCTTTCCCACATTCATTGATGAAGACTTCACATAATTAAGCAGTATGTTGTCCCACTTGCTCTTATAATAATTATTATAAGATTATATTTTGGTCACTTTCTAGTTTCTGGACGGACTACAAATCTATTCTCTACTCGTAAAAGTGGGGTACATGCTGTTCTCTGCTGCGTCTGCATAATAAAGGGAGGGTTTGTACTGTATGTGTTGATTTCCCAATGATGCTACTGTCAGTGCTTGATGATTTGGTGGATTGCCTCAATCTGATTAAGAGACTGACATAATTTTGTGCATGTTTTTCATCTTATCTGCTTTGCCACAAATGGTTCATTAAATTCTTTAATGACAGAGTCTTGTCTCGGGTTTGATAACTAAAGGCTCCACCCTAAAACGGGTGGAATATATATTAAAATCTTTGATTATTCACTCTGAAATATTCTTAGACACTACAATAGGTCTGATTAGTTTGCTTTTGAGGGTTAACATTGTGATGTTTATCCAGTTGAATTGAGGTTTGCAAATGTGAAAAGGGTTGATTACATCTGGAAACATCATATTCCATTAACATTACAGGACACTGTGAGGACATTCTGTTTGGGAGTCGAGCCCCCATAAAAGTTTGAATCTAGAATCGTCCCTAAACTAATCAAACTGCAAGAGATACCAGACCTGATAACAGTATAAGTGCTCAAAACCTGAATGCATGTGATGATTTTCACTCACCTGACATCTTTTAAATTCGATACCAAACAAATCGTTCTCCTTTTTTCTTACTTTTATAAGTTGTACAAAATCTAAGCAGCCACCATTACCATCTAACTACTGATAAGTTAGACCGGTTATTCTTTTTATTTACCTGGTCCCACAGCGCACCAGCAACCTGGTCAATGACGGCACCGAGTTCTCGGTATTCCCCAGAGTACCGGATGTAAGCCCAGGTGCACAGAGTGATCAGTGCCAGGCCGAGGATCATGTTGCACAAGCTGGCAATGATGTCCACGCCCACAAAGCCTGTGATACCCGCGGCTACGTACATGACAAAGATGACCACGAACAGTGTGGCCGGCGTGCGGGCTGCGTGGAAAATGTTCTTGGAGTCATTGTGTTTGATGTACTGGACGAACACCTCGTCGATCTCTCCCTCCAGCTGCTGCAGGTAGCGGCGGCTGAACTCTTCACCTCCCATCTTCTTTACACCCTTAAACACCTGCAGCGCCTCCTCTCTGATGACGCCATGTCGGGCTTGCAGCTCACTGGGGGCGAGGAAAGGCCGATCACCTCCACAGACCTGTGAGAAGTGACAGCAGTGAGTCGGTGAAGTCACTTGGTAGCTACTGGACATTCACTTCCAAATCTGTTTTCGCCTACCTCCTCCATTTTCTTGTTGTACAGATCTTTTGCAGCTGCAACAGCTGCTAAATTATTTGCCTCAGCTGTGGCCTGAGGGGAAGCAAATGGAAATATCATGTAAGGATCAATGTCAGCAACCAGAAATTAACAGTATGGATAAGCTTACAGCAGTGATCAGAGGTTTACGTCCACTCATCATTGATTTTCATGGTTATTTGGGGCTTTTAAGGATTTCTTTGAACTCTTCTTATATTATTATTAGATTCAGGCTCAAATATATACATACATCTAAGCTCATATTTTGTAGTATTTTTAGTAGCCATCAACAACCTTCTGGCATAATTATGGCTAGATATTTGACCACAGCTCTGGCTTTTAAGCATAGTCAACAAATTTTCACTAAGGTTGAGGTTGGGGCTTTGGGAAGGCCATTTCATAACTTTTGATGTGTGTTTGGGAACATTGTCTCATAAGTTTCTTCTAGCTGTTGATCTGAGACGAAGTTGAAGAATTTGGAGATAATCCTTCTCCTTTATTCCATCCACTTTGTGCAATGTACCAGTACCACTGGCAGCAAAACAGAGCATGATGCTAGCACCACCATGCTGAACAGCTTGTATAGTGTTCTTAAGTTTAAAGGCTTGAGCCTCGGTGGTTCCTGCGTTGTTCCTGAAAATCCTAATCAAGTTCCTCTCATGTAGGGGCAAGTTTGGGTTTTCTTCCAGACTTTAGCAAAGTGGTGACACATTTGTTTGAACTGATTATCTTGGAACCTGCAGTTGTTTAGAAATGGCTTCCTAACTGATCTAACTCTACATTTCTACTTCTTGGATCTTCATTGAGTTCCTTGGAGTTTCCCATTGTTCTGAGTATTGATCAATCCAATGACTGCTGTCAAACAAATCTTTTTTATGCAGCAAAGACAAACTACCAGTTGCTGTCAATCATGATCACTGCTGAAAAGTTAACAGACTTTGGCTGTCACAGTTTAAAATACTGCGAGATCAATTACAAGACTAAAGTAACTGTAAATATATATTTCAACATGCATGTATACTTTTGACTCTCTGTGGAGTAGAGAAAATCCAAAAATTACAGTAATTAAATTTAAAATTGTGCACTTGATTTTTGTTATTTAAAGTCATTAAGGATATATGCCATCCAATCATCCTATCCTAAAAGAAACAAACAGTTCAAAGAAACCATTATAATCTATAGAATTACCATTAAAATAATGTCCAGATGAGTGTATGTAAACCTCTGACCATAGGTGTATCTTGAGTGCAAAGCTTTATTGTATGTTAGCAAAATAATCATTAAAAATATACCTGTAGCATTGACTTTGGATGTGGCAGCTCCTCGCCTTGGTAAATTTTGATGTAAGCCTAAAAATACAAAAAAATAATACAAATGAAAAAGTTCATTTGTTACATTTCATCAGTCATATATGGAAATATGGCACTTTAAATAAAGAAAGGACAGAGTCTGGTTGTTGTGCATATCACCACGGTGCTTTGTTCTGACCTTGAAATACTCCAGCAGGCCTCTGCACGTGATTTTGCTGCCGTTGATCTCCTTCACATCGATGTTGCGAGGACTGAGGAGCCAGGGGACCAAGACCGTCAGGTTGTTTATAAACTCACCATCAATCTCTAGACAGAGAGGACAAGTGTGTACAGCATGGCAAAGTCACTCACTGACAGCAGAAGTCTTCTTTGGGACAAAATGCAAGACCCAAAAAAACCTGCCCAGCAAGGCCTCGACGAGCATTAGAAAAACCTCCAGAGCCCTCATATCTCAATCTGAGCATTTTCAGGATATATCTAAACATGTCTGATCTGTAGAGGCCCCACCAGCAACTTTTAAGATCTAATATCCTGATCGTAGATATCGCAGGACAGACCTAGAGGTTCCATGTCATGATTGAAGTGAGGGAACTAAACAATATTAGGTGTTCAAAACTAGAAGTACATTTGCAGAGTGCATCCTCCACCAAGGCTAATGTCCAATGCTGATGCAGTATTTCAAATTTTATGGGGTCTTCTTTTGCCCGAGCGTCACCTCCTCACCAAGTTCCAAGAAATTTGGCTGCGAAGTTTTTCCCTAGCCTTTCACAAACAATACTATTCCTGACTTAAAGGTGGATGTGGTGTAAGTGAGCAATGAAGAAAATGTACCTTTGATTCTCCCATCAAAGTGTGGATTGGTGGCCACTTTGAGGCCAGGGTGAGGCATCAGGAAGCAGGAGATGTTGGTGAAGCAGGAGTGGATGTGTTTCCGCACATTCTGCAGCTCTTCATGCTGGTTCTCTGAGATCTGCACCGCAAACACGAAGACAACAAGTTTAAGATGTGCTTTGGTTAAGCTAGTCTCAGCAGCAGTAAGCAACCACATCACTGCAAAGGCTGCACAGGAAGCTGATGTGACAGGACTGAAAGTGGTGTGACCTTCTATCTCAGTAACATCTGTGATGTCTGACCTTAAGTCTCTTCTCGAGGAATTTCATGCCGCCTTCCTGTCCATAGGGAAACTCATATGGAAAACTCCAGTCTCGAACCAGGAAAATCATGGACTAGAAAGGAAATTATAATTCTTGTGTTATAAAGTCGGCTCACTCACTCAAATAATTTTGAGACATAAAAATGTGTTAATAGAAATACTAAAGATATTTCTATTAAATAGAAAATACCTGGAATGGTTTCAGGAAAGTCTCCTCCATAGCTAGTCTTCCATACTCAGTGAAAAGCTGAAATAAAGTAACAATATTGTAACAAGTAATTTTAAGAACTAATGTGTGAGGATAATAATTCTGATATTAATATATAAACAAGTCGAAGGAGTTGTAGTACTGTGCAAAAGTCTTGAACCACACCCAATTTATTTATATTTTGCTAGGAAAAAATGGAAAAAGCTCCAGTTATTGAAACATGTGAAACCATATATGAAAATACAGTTTATAAGGCATAAACAAAGCTGTTCTTTGGATTGTGACCACCTTTTATTATGTCTTGTTTCAAGATAATCCCACACTGCTTCAATAATATTGAGGTGGGGAAACCAATCCACAACTTGCAGTGTTTCATTGTATTTTTTTCTTTCCAGGTATGCTTTTGCTGCATTGACAGTGTGTTTGTGTTTGATACTTTTCATTGTTAAAAAATAATCTGAAAGAAGAGTATGGTAGACCGAGGAAGATGTGGCATACCTAAAGGGACAAGCTAAAAGAAGAAGTCATGTTCAAAATTAAGACCTGCTGCCACTGATTTTCAGTCCAGTTCTACACCAGTCCTTTCACTCGGTTTCCTTTCCTTATAAATGGCTTCAGCAGCCTCCCTTCCACTGAGACCATTTCTGATAAGGCTTTAGTAAACAGTAGATGTACCAACTGAAGGGTCAGATGCATCTGTATAGTCCAGTGTCAGGTCTTTGCTGGGTTCTTTTTTTCTGGTTTCTTAAGTTCATGACTTTCAGATACTGTTCACGTGCTGTAGATGGTTTATCTTTTTTTGTCCCCCACTTGTTCAGTGTCCTCAAATTTTTAAGGACATACAGCACACCATGCTGAGATATGACATGCTCATACTTGAGCTATGTGCTCTTTTTATGCTTAAATGATTCATAGGTCAGTGTTAAGTGGTTTATCGAACAAAACAAAAAAACATTCCTGTGAAAACGGTCAGACACAACAACTAGACTGAAAATGAGTAAAAAGCAGCCAAAGTCCAAAAAGAAGAAAAAACTTTAAAAGACTGTCAGAAAGCCTGGAGAACTATTGATCAAGACCACTTTAAAATATATAAGAAGGTCTGGTGAAACAAAAGGAGGGGGGTAGCTGAGGACTTTAGTGCAGGACTGTATTTTCCTGTAATAACTGAAAGGCAATTTTACCTGCAGGTGCTGAAGGTCGTCCTCTTGCACATTCTGTGAGATGTTGTAAACCTGAAAGAGGCCATTGAGTTAGAGAGTTATTTTCTTTAAACATGTACAACTTGAAGAATGTGGTAAATCTGTCCAGGTTAAATTATTGACCAAATAGTCCATTAGGCATTAAGGAACAAACGGGACTAGCAGGCATAATATGTAACACCTGTGTCTTAGTTTGGTGTGTTAGCATGGAAACCTTTGTTATAAAGTCTGAGCTTGTTACAAACAGAGGAACTATTTTATTTCCAAAACAAGCATGCAGCTAATTAACATTAGATCTCTGCCGAAAGAGGAAACAGGGTAGGGACAGATGGGCCATTTCTTCTGAACAATGATGCAGTTGGCAGGTGTGCTTGAGTAGAAAGAATCATCACTAAGATAGTCCATCCCAAACAAACTTTAAAGTACATGCATGCATTTTTACAAATACTTAGTCTTTTCTAAAGCTAAGCTGGATCAGGTGACTGAAGGTCACTGCACCTGCATGGAGCTTATCATGGTGCTCAAGGCGAACACAGTGGCTGAATCCCTCAGCGTCGACTGGCTGTCAAATGTGCCTTGCGTGTCCATTAGCAGCACAGCGACCTGTGTGAGGAGACAGATGAACGCATTCACCTTTGCTGCAGGAGTCAGTATGTTCGCCGTGGATGTGCTGTACTGAGGAAAGTGAGTTTTAATACAGCGTGTGGAGTGTTTACACTCCAGAGAATAGAAAGTGCCTAAAGCAACCATTCATGTTCAGCAGCTTGTTTTGAATGAAACTAAAAAGAACGACCAACCTTTGATGCAAAATGTTAGAAACATTTGGCTGATGCAGGTATAAAAAATGTCCTAAACCACAAAAGACTCCTTTCAAGTTATCCAACCAAAGCTGCAGCTACGACTGTGAAGGTGAGAAGCTTTAAGACGACCTGTTGCCAGGCTCATTGAGAATATAAAGGTGTCACTGTAGAGGTTAAACAAGTATATGTCCATCCATCCATTCACTTCCGCTTATCCTTTTCAGGGTCGCGGGGGGTGCTGGAGCCTATCCCAGCTGTCATAGGGCGAGAGGCGGGGTACAACCATTCACACTCACCTCGTGGCAATTTGGATTATCCAATTAACCTATCCCCACAAGCTGCATGTCTTTGGGCGGTGGGAGGAAGCCGGAGTAAACGCAAAACACGGGGAGAACATGCAAACTCCACACAGAAAGATCCCGGCCTGATGGTGGAATTGAACTCAGGTTGCTGTGCGGCAACAGTGCTAACCACCGTGCCACCGTGCTGCCCACAAGTATATGTGTGATATTTAATTAAGCACTTAATTGCACTTTAGCCTACTCGTCCATTGTGGGATGAAATAGAGTCTCACCTTTCTTCCGTCTGGTTTGTCCACCAGAAAGACCTCGCTCCAGATCTGGATCCCGGTGGTCTCCCTCTCTGAGCCGCCCCTCCAGGAGAAGCCAGTCAGAGGTTCTTCTGGATTGCCGAGCCAGTTTTCAGACGCCTGAGCACCGACAGATCACATGTTAGGCTAACAGGTCATTTTACCCTCAGTGGCTTTGAAATATTGCTCTCTTTTTTAAAAATTTGATCTGCTGCTTGAAAAAGAAGAAGGTATAAATAAGATAAAGGAAGGTAAAGAAATCCATAGCCATTTTAATCCAAGATTACTGTACATAAGCAGGTTGGTGCATGCATGTAGTAATATAATATCATAAATATTCTTCTTTTTTGCCAGTTCCTTTGTTATATTTCAATTTTTTATGTGCTACATCAACTCACAAGCTAAATCGGGAACTTTTCCACCAGCACGACTGAGCCGATTCACGCACACAGACTGTATGATCTATACCACGCAGACTGCAGTAATGCTTTTGCAGAGACTTACATGGTTGTACATGTAACGCAGCATAAAGTCCATGAGGAAAGACTTGCCCTTCCGGAAAGCCCCGGCCACGGAGATGGCCACCACCTCACGATCTCTGACCTCCTCAGACAGCAGGATGCGGCTCAGCGCCGTCTCATCCAGCTCAAAGGTGTGGTCATCTTTGACCAGCAGCACTTGGATGGGCCGAGCTCGTCCGTCTGGCTCCTCCTCCTCCGAGCTCCAATCATAGACATTTTTATCACTGAGGGACCCTGGAAGAGAAGATAGTCGTGGGAAATCATAAAACCTGAAGCAAGAAAACAGCATTAACATTACAGTCAAACACAGAGATGAAGGCAAAATGTTTTATTTAAAGAATTTATTGTGTCAATGAAACACCAACTAAAATGTTGTTGTGTGAGTGACTGAACAGCGAGAACTTCTTCACAGTGATGATAAGCGCACTTAGCAGTCCATTAAGTGAGGAAACAGGAAAGTTAAGTCCATTACTCCTTCCTGTTTCAGCTCCAGATCAATAGCATGGCCTGCAAGCTTGTTAATAATATTCCTAATGAATCAGGCCACACTCTTTTTATCCAATGAGATCATGTGCATTCAGAGGTTTTTTCCGTACTTTTCCATGCAATGACTCAGTGTCTTTCCAGTCTCTGCTGTCTCATGTACAGTGTAAGGGCTAAATGGGCTTCCTGCAATGATTGGAGGCTTTCCGAGCTCCCAAATTCCCCACACTGTAATGTTTGTTTACTGAAGACGAAAGAAAGTCCAAACACACACCACTAATTCCAGTCACTGCAGCTGTGGTGCTAATTTTGAGCTTTTAATGCAAATCAAAGCATGGATACAACTCTTTAAAAAAGCAGCAGTGACAGATTAAGGAGTAGCAGACAAAATTTTAAGGATGTGCTAAATGATTAATAAAGGGTGCCAAGAATGCGCAGTGAATAATTCAGGAAGGAATCATCCAAGGTTTCGTCTCAGGCTTGAAGGGGACTATCGGGGTGGATTCACATCTCTTGCAATGGCCTCTTCAGCCAGGCCTGGCATCATGAACCTGCCTGGTTAACCTGATCGTGTTCCTCTGCTGCTGCTGTTGCCCTTAAAACAGCCGAAGACGTCAGAAGCGGTCTGCTTAAAGTGGGTCAGCCCAGATAAACTCTCTGATGACAAACAGCAGCATTTCACCCTTTCCCCCCTCACTCCTAATGCAGTCATTCAGCCCCTTCCTTCCCCTTGCAGGCCTGAATTTATAGTTAACACAGAGCATAGCGTGATGTCAGTGACAATCACCAACAGTGATGATGGTATTAACGGTCAGGGTGCAGATGGTGGTCCTGAGGATGATGAGAGGCTATCTTCTGATGCAATATTACATAATTGTATGCCAGATGCACCACGTACAATCACGAGAAGCTCACTGTGATAAACAAAATACATCAGAAGCTGGTTTTCAGGCCTCTTAGGGAGGTCCAGAGAGCACTAACAGACATTTCCCTACGCGTTCATCACTGAATAAAAATATAATGTCTTAGAAATACAGGTCTGTGCTTGCTTATGCCTGATTAGACAATATTCCTGCAGAGATTCACAAAAACACGTATTTCTCACGATAAATGGCGTCATGCTTTGCTGCATTCAAATAAATAAACACTGGTCATGATACGGTCAAAACGAAACCAAGCCTTTCATCATGGAGTCTAAGATAAACATCTTACTGGCTTACACCCTCTCCTCCTCGGCAGGGAGGATAAAAAACGGTTTGTGCCGTCAAGAAAAGCAATGAAATATGAAATACTGTACGTACACTCACCCCAGCTGTCTCTTTCTGGACGGTGTTTCGCCATAATACTGTCCTTATATCCCTTTGATTGTGGGTTACTGAGCGACCCTAGTCGGTAGTCATGAGTGTATATCGTGGGCTGGGAGAATGCCCTGGCTCCACCAAAACGATGCTCGTCTCGCAGGAGGATGATGGAGCTTTTATCCTCAATGCGATGCAGCCATGCTGTATCTCGCTAGGGGGCGCAGTTCTAAAGCAGCAGCTTGAGGCATGGGACGACAGCTGCAGTTCAGCTTATATTGCAATGTCTACAGAAAAGAATGATTAACGATTATGTGCTTGAAAGTGCGACCAGAAACGCATTTCTTTGTCGCTGCCTTCACGTGAAATTTTAGCTTCTACCGGCAGGTGGCGGTAATTACACAGAGGTTGAACGGTATGCCCCCTTCATGTGCGCTTTTGTAAAAATGTAAATTCCAAATGGGTAAAGCAGTAGTCAGTATGTTGTTAAAATACTACATTCAATAAATAAATAAATACAAATTCCCCTCTTTATTGAACGGTTACTGTACGTTGAACTGAACTGTATGAAAAGAAAACATCAGCTCATTAAAACAATTACCCATATCATATTCTAACACATGGATAAATATTATTGCCTTAAAATAAACCACTTTCATGTTGGGTAATAAAGGCAATTACAGATATCTGGTTTTAGACCTATTGATATCAGATAATTCTTTCACTTAAATTTTATTTAAAAAAAAAAGAATAACTTAAAATATTACTATAATCATACATCAAAAAAAATTCAGACCTTTTTCCACCAACCCTTTGAAAAATAAAGATATTCTCTTATTTAGAATATTTTTAATATTCCTGATTGTATTTTGTGGCATGAAATTATGCTTGTAAAGCATTTTCAAATACAGTAATACCTGCAAATAATAACTTTAAGGGGTCATAATTACATCTCAACAGAAATTTTATTCATCCAACTTTTTTTTGAAAAGATATGCTGAGATACTAAACCATAACTACATCAAAAACGCGCCCATAAATCAACATTTGGTTTGAATAGATAATAAAGAAAAGGTACTATTTTAAAAATGAGACGTCTAGATACATTTCATGTGCTTTGAATGCCCTTTATATTTTTATTTCTTTATTACAAATCGAATACTTTTGTTATATTATTAACGATGTAATAAATACGTGATTGTGGTTAGATTATTTTCCGTGATGCACTCGAATGCACCAGCGTCCAATAACTGCGACTCCACAAAGATTAGTAACACACTGTTGCTTTTAAGGGAGCGTGTTATTTCAGTAAATCCAACAGTTTATTGTTTATGTAGTCTAACGTTAGTATTCTACCCATGAGCCCGAGGCTAATCTAAAACTGTCAGCCGAGGGAAATGACATGGCAACGGCAAAACTTAACGCTGGCTTGCGGGGATTTGAAGTCGACCCTGTCGCTTTTTCTCTGAAGGAGTGAACTGCAGCAGCAGCAGCAGCAGCAGCAGGACCAGCAAGCGAGTGAAGTTTACTACTGTTCCCTCGATAACAAAAGAGGGGGACCGCCTTTGTTTTTTTGGATAACTATTCGACGCCATCGCACAGTTAAAAGCCTGAAAACGATTCGGAGTTCAAGACATGCTCCCGCCGTGTTTGTGTTGTTGAAGGTATACACTGTTGAACTTAGAGCCAGCTGAGAAGCTAACTTTAGCCAGTTAGCTAGCTTTAGCTGACCCGCCCGGATGCTAAGCCTTTCACTGGCTCTGGCTAATTGCTGGAATGACCACAACCTGCATGTTAATACCGTTATAATGGTCACTGCTTTTAAATGCTTGTCTCTTTATTACTTTTGAGGAGTAGTTGGAGGTAATTAATTAGTGCTTGCGTGACAGATGTCAAAGCTAAGCTCGTCCAGGGTTATTACTAGAGATTAATACTCGCTGTTTTTCTTTTGTGCACTTTTCCCCAAAAAACTTTCCACCTTTCAGGACATGGACAACAGGGACGGGCAGTCTGAGTAACTCTGACTCAAAACCATTGTTGCATCAGATCATCGACACCACCGTTGGTCAGTCCAAATAAATGTAAAGACATCTCTGGGTCAAGGTACCATGGATATCTTTACCCGGCCAAGCAATGAAATCCAAAGGAGGAACCCTCAGCATGACTTTGAACTCATTCAGAGGGTTGGAAGTGGCACATATGGAGACGTGTATAAGGTACAGTGATGTTCCCACAGTCTGTCATTAGCGCTAGAGATAACATAACCCACCACATCATGACTAATCAGGCTGTCGCTGTAATTTAAGCCAGAGTGGTGTTTGCTTTGTAAGTCATGATAACATGTGGCAAACACATTGACAGAAGCTTTTGAGTGAGAGCCAGGTTGTGCATCCATTCATGTGCCAAACATTGCATATGGTGGCGCTTACTGTTTTTTACTTTATTATCTTATTTTATTGGTTGGATCAATTTGTTATCTGTATTTTCCTGCTTGTGGAGGCAGTGTTGCTGAACCAGTTTGACTGTTGTGCTCAGGTCGTTGCTTGTACCTTCTTGTTAGTTTGCTCTACCACTTTTGGTGGAGACAATGCAACATACATCAGAAATACATTCACCACTTACTTCAATAGGTACACCTGTTTAGCTGCTTGCTAACTGAGTATGTAATTAGAGAGTCACATGGGAGTAACTCAACGGATAGGCATGTGGACATGGTCAAGATGGCCTGCTGAAGTTCAATTTGAACATCAGAATGAGGAAGAAAGAAAGGTGATTTAAGTGACTTTGAATGTGGTTGTTGGTGTCAGATGGATAGTATTTCTGAAACTCTTTATCTACTGGGATTTTCCACCACACTATCATTGGTAGGCTTTACAGATAATATCTGAAAAAGACAAAAAGTGTCCAGTGAGCAGCAGGGGAAAATGCCTTGTTGATCCCAGATATCAGAAGAGAATGGCCAGAATGCTTTAGGCTAATAGAAGGGCAAGAGTAACTCAAATAACCACTCGTTCAGCATACCTTGTTATACAGAAGTATGCAGAAGAGCATCTCTGAATGCATAACATGTCTACCTTTGAACCAGATGGGCTACACCAGCTTATGTTGTAAATTGCTCTTACTTAGTGTACAGTCTCTTATTTCTTATTGTTTATTTGCATTTTCCATCTGCCTGTCACTTTGCTGCTGGAAGACTACAGTTTCCCCCAGTCAGGGTCCATAAAGAATATTTCTATTCTATTCTATTGTTCTTTGAAATGCGGTGGAACAGGAGATACACATCATGGATGTGCACGCGACAAATGTGCAGCAACTGTGTGATACTATCTGTTAATATGGGCCAAAGGAATGTTTCGAGGACCTTGTTGAATCTGTGCTGTAAAGATTTAAAGCAGTTCTGAAAGCGAAAGTGGCTCCAGGACAGTACAAGGAGTACCTAATAAAGTGGTCAGTTAGAGTACATTGTGTGATGCATAACTTTTCAGAATAAGAGTTCAGCTGTCAAATTTGTGTTTAGTTTTTGGACATGGATATAGAAAGACTGTCAGCAATAACATATGATTATTTGGTTCCTTTTTCTCACTTGCATATGTGCTATATTTATTTTGCAGCTTTTTGTGAGACAGTCTAGTTTCGGAAGTTTTTCTTTTTGGGGTTTTTCCTATTTTTTGTGGAAAAACTGGGCAAATAGTCTTGAGTCTACAAGTCTTTTATTGCAGTTAAACCCAGAGGTCCAAAGTAAGAAACAGTAGAGAGAGTAATTGACTGTTCGGGTGATTTGTTACCATGTTCTTCTTGAAAAATGGCAAAGCTTTACTTGTTCCAGCTGCACATTTATGAGGATTTGCTCCTTTTCTTTGTCAGATTGTTGTGAACCTCAAACATCTGGAGAATCCCCATAGAAAATCGAATGATTATATTAGTGCGTTGATGTATTTGTTTCAAGCCAATGCTGTTTTGCGTATGTGTTATTAATTTGCTGGGTATAGCCGACTAACTGCCAGATGTTTCCCACTGTTTGTCTGGCTGCGGCGAGGTGCGTTTTGCTGGAGAATTTTCTTGTTTATCCATCTGTCGCACACAAACAGACGAACCATCTGATGTAGACGTGATGGTTCAGCCGGGCTCACATGGCCTCCCTCCATACAAAGCCTTCCTGGCCAGCGAGCCAGCCCACCCTCCACCCCCAGACAGGCCACCGGTGGTATGCTGCGCCTGGTATTCTCCCGGAGCTCACAGGCTCAGAGCTGCAGTGAGCTGAAATATGATCAGGCCCCTGTCTAAACATGCGTTTCACTATGGGTGTGTTCTGCCCTGCGTTGACAGAGAAAGCGCCTTTAGATTTGGGAAAAGTCCTCAGCATGGCATTCCTCACCTTTGAATGTTTACTGCATGTGAATATATTAATTTAACAATTTCATGGCATCTCTGTGGAGGTTATTTTGGTTTTCTTTAGTTGTAGAGTAATTCCCCAGGTTGTGAATCTTTTTCTGGTCAATTTCCTGTCATATAACACGATTAGAAAGGGAAAAACCAACCTTGGAAGGCCAGTAGATGAATGGAGTATCGATGGCTTTGAAAATATTTGCATCAAAGTTGAGTGTTGAGGGACAAAGAGGGAACTAAGGAATACTGTAAATAGTCAGTCAGTAGCAAAATCATTCTAGAAGCTAGTCTCGCCACTCAGCAGCCATCTTAGTTACACATCCATTATTTGACCAGCTATTTTACAGCCTTATCTAAATTACTTATATTTTGATTGTCACAAGGGCATTAAAACTGCATTCATGGGCTCAACAATCAAATTTGACTTAAAAAATGATAGAAAAGTTTTGTTTTCCCAAAATAATGGGGTACCTGGAGGTATTTTGAGTTGTGAAAAGTGGCAGGTCTTTCACATTTATGATGTTTACTCACTTTGTTCTATGTATATGTTCAGTTTGAAGGAATCAGCCTGACTGTAATTACCCTGAATTTGCGCAAACATGAGACCAGAGACGTGAGAGAGAGATGGAAAGAATCCTAATGGAAATGAGAAACACTGTCACATGCTACACATTCTCTGCTTCATCTCGTATGTGGGTATTATAATGAAAACTCCCCCCTTTAGTGGCTTATTTCTTAGGTTGGTTACCTCTGCTTCAGGAAGTAACAAACAGAGGTTCAACACAAATACTAAACACACTTTAGTTTAAAGCAGAACAGTCACATGCTCTCGTAATATGTGCACAGTAGGAAAAAATTGTTCTGTTTTTTTAAATGTCTTTATGTTTGTGTGCACGCAGCTGCATTTTAAACAGTTTAAAGCTTTGTTTGGGTTGTTGTTTACATGTGTGAATCACCACCACATTCCACTACTGAAAGATGGCCAGGCTGCCGGGTTTTGTGGTTTATGGCTGATTTAGCCGCTCGTCCAGACATTTCACTCTCTCGGATTAGGCAGCATCCCGTCTTGACCTGGATTTGGACTTCAGTGAAACCTGCTGTAGCACAGGATTTTTACACGTGATGGATGCTTTGTAAAATCTATGAAATACAAACATGCTTGTCGGCATTATGAAGTGATTCAGGGAAGAAACAAAAAATTAACTGAGGAATGACTAAAATATGCAGACATGTATCATTCAGAGATTTATTCATAAGTCAGAGATGGTGTCCAGCCTTTCCCTGGTGACTAATTTATAATGCTGGTTGGCCACAACTTCTTTTCTTTATTGAATTTTGTGTTCAAGTTTGTAGTTGATTAAATCCTAGAAGTGACAGTTTAGCAGCAGTTTCCAATCTGATAAAGCTGCTGCTCAGATCAACAAATTGATTTTATAAAATATCCAAAAATGGTGAAAAATTCTAGTTGTAATCTTGTGTTGTTCAGCCACTGCTTCAAACCGCCCAAAAATGTGTGTTAGAATCCAATGAACTTAACAGAAGTAGTAAATTGTCATGATTGAGCAGCTTGAATCAGGGCAAATGAAGACATAATACCCAAAATGAGTGATTTATTTGGTCTCTATAGTCAGTGTTTCAGTCAATACAGTTAACAGGCGGTGAGCAACCTACAGTTAAAGCCTCGGTTAAAATTGTGTTATTGTGTTTTTCAGGCTCGAAACATACAAACCGGAGAGCTTGCTGCTGTGAAGGTCATAAAGTTGGAACCAGGTAAGAGCTGTTACTTTTATTTCATTATCTCATCGCAGTGAAAAGAAAACACACAGCTTTTTAGCATTTTACAGAAAAAAACTCCCCTCAAATGACTGTAAAATATATTTTTTACTGCAACAAAACTGGACTTCTTATGTAAACTGAAGATTTTATTGGTATGATTATAAATATTTATCAAGAAAAGGCAAATATCTAAACAGTGAAAGATAAATCTCATTTTCCCAGCAGGAGTATGATGTGTGGTTTTGTGTACAAGGAACAGAAAGACTGGTTCCCCTTTGGGGTTTATGCTGGTAATGACCTAGTGACAGAGTTAGCGCGATCCAGATTAGTGGGATTACGGAGAGGGCTTTGTACCACCAGCGACCAGACAGAGCTCAGCTGATTAACAGCGAAGGAGGACATTCACTCCTGTTTATGCTTTTCTTTCATTCATCACATCGCTGTCTGGGTCAATGAAGAATCATAGGATCACTAATCAGTGTTTACACTTGTTCTTCTTGTCAAATGT